TTCACATCTATACCTACTACAGAAATGTGTACTTCCCTACACACTCACATACACACACAGAGAAAAAATTTTAGACCCTGTGAATGCAGTCAATAATGTTGCCTTTATACCTGAAGAGCAGTACATTTTTTTCGAGTAGAATATATATATTTTTAAAGATCAAATATTAAAATGATAGTTCATTTAGAAGAACTTTATCCTGTAGACTTCTGTTGAGAGGCAAGAGGGTGATACAGACAGCTTTTGCTTTCATTTGTATTTTATGACAGTAGAGATCAGGAGTATTTTCAGGGAGAAACTGTGAGAGAAATGACTTGGCTGAACATCTGCTATGAAGCTTTTATCTCAATCTGAGGCTGCAGTGGATGAACTCAAAGGATCTCCACTCCCATCTTTAAGATTAAACAAGTCTAATCCAGGTTCTTTCTTGTAAGGCTTTACGTTAACAAGAAAGATCGCTGTTTGCTGCCTTCTTCCTGTGTCTCTTACATAGCAAATTACTTCCTAGAGCGTCTGAAGATTTGACAGCTGTATTTGATCTTTATTTTGTCATTGGTCATGATATCTCTTTAAGGGGAGACAGTTTCATTTTATAGACATGGAAGCAGAGGCTACCTGAGGTTAAATGGTTTGTCAAAATCGTATGTGAACTATGTAACACCAAAGGCTAAATATAGTACTAGGGATATTTCTGAAAACAGAAGGCAGTGCCCAAGAATCTGTAACTTTGTTTTCTTTTTGAGACTGGTCTCACTCTGTTGCCCAGGCTGGTGTGCAGAGGCACCATCATAGCTCATTGCACCCCTGAGCTCGAGACTCAAGTGATCCACCCACCTCAGCCTCCCAAGTAGCTAGGACTACCATTATTATCCACCACCACACCAGGCTAATTATTCTATTTATTAATTTATTTTTGTAGAGATAAAGTCTTGCTATGTTGCCCAGCCTGGTCTCAAACTCTTGGCCTCAAGCAGTCTTTCCACCTCAGCCTCCCAAAGCGCTGGAATTGCAGGTGTGAGCCACCACACCCAGTCAATGTAACTTTATTTTTTTCCCCCATTGGTAGGATTTTGAGTTTGTGTGTGCATTTGCATGTGAGTGTTTGCGTTCAGAGATTACATCAAATTGGGCTTTGCATCTCAACTACCTAGCACTGTGCTGGATACAACATACGTGCTTAATAAATCCATGTAGTATGAATGAAAAGGTACCAAGAAAATAATCTTGTCTGGCAAAAGATAGTGGCATTTTCATTTTTAACCACTGTGATACTGATTATTTTCAATTTCCCACCCTGCCACCCCATCTCTCCCACCAAATCCTGAAGTTCCCCCATGAATAATAAATACATTTATAACAAGCAATGGTCTTAACCTGAATTTTCATACTGGAAGAGTAATAATTTTGGATGTAGAACTCTATTTCTATGTTTGGGCATCTTTTTTAATTTCTTTATGCCTCAACTGGAGTTTAACAACAATGAATGCAGATATTTTTAACCACTTTCGTGAATACTAATGACATTTATTAAGCACTTGCTAAGAGCTGTGGAATGTACCAGAGGACTTACATGCATCTTCATATTTAGTCTGTGCAACACACCTGGGAGAAAGGTCTTCGTATAACCATACGCTGGCTCAGAGACATGAGTCTCCTGTTCAAAGTCACACAGTCAGCCAGGCAGACTGGAAGAGGGGTAGTGACTGTGGTGAGGACTTGATGGTCATCCCTCCATAAACAGCAGCTATTAAGATAATGGTGATAATGCAGTAGTCCTCCGGAGCATCTAACACAATGAGTGTGCAGTGTCTTAGCATAAGTAAGTTTACGAGAGGCTGTCATCATGAAAGCTCTCTCTGCTTGAGGGCAGAGACAACTTAAGGATATGTTAAGGGTGAGAATGTAGAGAGTGATCACATTATTTCAAAATTAAAATAGTCCTTTTGAGAATATAACCTTCAATATTTAGCTATGTAAGTGAAAGTAGAAAACAAGCAAAAACATTTTATCAGTTTCACAATTTACCTAACAAACGTCTATATGCTTGAATATTACAAAGAACAGGATGGAACATTCTTCCTTGCTCTTCCCCTAAGAGAAATCTGTTGCTGTATGCTGTTCAGCTTTCAGGCCGGGAGTTCCATCCCACAGTGTTTCAGCGGAGAGCTGCCAGGAGAGAATAATAACACTAGCGGTGTTATTTGCTGACACGAAGGCTAGGAATACACTTACAGCCTAGACTTGGCTTCTTGCCTCGTTAAGGCACCAAACAGCCGGGCTCACTGACAACTTCCCTGAGACACACTCGCTTACTCTAGCACTATTTAAATCTCTTTGTGTGGTGTATTGCTTTATTTCCTTCAAGGCTTTTATCTTTTTAATCTTACCGCTCATTCGTTTTCATCCCTGAGACTAAAGGAACAAGAAGGAGTACAGATCTGGTGATGTTAACCTGACATCTGTGAACCCCAACATGAATGGGCTTCAGGCCAATCTTGAACCAAACCCCTGATCTCTCAGAAGACGAAGGAGGCCTAGACCATCCTGCTTTTCTGAGGTTCCATGTAGATTAAAAAGTAGATATGCCTAAATAAAGTTAGCAAAGCAAGTGCTCATTTTTAACTGCTTACTATACTAATTTCCTTTAGCACATTACAATATGATGCAATAGAGTTGTGCAAAACAGGATATTTACAGTGTTTATGAAAAATACCAATTCAAAATGGGTTTCAGGTAGTATGGTCAAATCATGGGTTGATTTGACTAAGGTTGTCTGGTGAATGTTTTCCATTTTTCACTTCTCAGAGTGTGTCTCTGTGAACGTATGTGTAATCTCACTTCAAAGAGAAGTTTCATAGTCAAAATTTGAGGAATTCTGTGAATGTGAATCATCAACTGCATGGCCCCACCCTGGTTCCTCTTTTTACTCAGCCTTTCCTGAGAAGTTCTGCACTGACAGTGAATGCAAATTTTATGTTCCTGGGTTCATTTCCTAGGTTTTATTAGATTCTCTAAGCAGTCCATTTTCCAAAAAAGGTTAAGAACTTATTTGTCTCAAAAGTAACCTAACCTGTAAAACCCAGACCAATGAAAAGAACTCCTCCTTTTAAAAATTCAGAATATTCTTCTTTTATATTATAAAGTCTTTTAACCTTGCAATTTAAATTAATGTTAATATTTTTTAAATGGCTTGCTTTTTAAAAACATGTTTAATAATCTTGAAATTTGTTGTTTCACCTGTCAAGAAAATGTCCTGAAATTTGTTGTTTCAAAAAGAAAAATCTTGTTTCTTAAATTTGCCACCTCTCTATTCCTATTCAAGAATATCTAAGATTAAAATGAGGACAGGTTATCCTGAAGAGTCAGTGGTCTAAAATCCATCTTGCTACTCTGTAAACCGTGTGACCCTGAGAAAGTGCTGACCCTCTCCGTTGCTCAGTCCTGCATCTCTAAGATGAGATGATTTTTATTCCTTGAGTCCTTTTTAGTTTTAAGAGATTATGATTTTTTTTTTTTAGTCTGTTTCTCCACCTACTGCCATCCTGGCTCTGCCATGTTTGAATACCTGAGCTCCAAAGCTATTGTCATGGTGTTTTGGCCTACTCTCTTAGAAATAAAACAAAATCTTTGCTTACTTTAACTAGAACCAAAACCAGTATTTAATAGGTCTAAATATAGATGTATTTTATCTTTGACCTGCTGGCAATGAAATATTCATTTTGTTGTCATGGTGAGCAAAGTACGCCAAGTAACCACAATAAAAACTTAAAAGAAAATCTACATGTTTTGGCCCAGTTGCATTACCAGATACAAAGCTGCTCGGATAGTTTCGGACACTAGATGGCGACATAAGTGCATCACATAACAAATATCTTCTTGATTGGTCCAGCATTCAAATCCTGATGATTGAAGCCAGAACAGGTTAATGCATTAAAGAAACAAAGTCAAATATAATCAGGTGTAGGTATATTAGCTAATACTCTGAATATGTTCAGTGACCCAGTACTTATTGAAAGAAAGGACTGTTAAACTAGATACTACTTTATCCTACCGTCGAGCGTATCTTCAAGCGAATTCTTTGGGTAAGAGTTGGCAATAAACACGTTTCTCATAAAATGTGCATAATTCCTAAGTTCACCTCCATTTTCGATTTTCACTTTTTAAAAATAGCAATTGTTTAGGATGGCGTGTGCCTCACATATATTATTCATTGACCAAGCACCATATTCTTATCAGGAATCCGAGCCCTAAGACACTGGTGTTTTAAAGGGGAAATGGCTGACTTACTGTAAGCGGTTGGCTGGGCCATTATTGACTGGCAGGCTCAACTGGAAGCACTTTGTTAGTGGATTAGGTTGCCCTGGAAATGCCTTCCTGAAACTCTAATGATGCACTTAAGGGAGCCCTCTGGAACAGGAGTAAAATGTCTTTTAGCAGGAGTGTCTTCCACCAGGGTCCTCCTGGGATGACTTGGGAGGGGCTGGGGGCGCGTCCAAAGAGATGCTCAGTGAGGAAACAACCACAGACAAATATTGTAGGTATCAATTTCTTACAGGTAAGCTAAGATAATGACTTACGGATGTAAACGGTGGGCTTTCTGTGGGTGCCAGGGCTTCATGTCTTCATTTCCAAAGAGCATCATTAATTCCAGAGCGTGTTTATCTATCTACCTATTTACGTATATATTAGTATTTATATATTTATTTATTTTCTAGGGATTGTGGTGGCAGGGGGATGAAAGAGAAAAGAAAAAAGAGGGAATTTGAGTGAATATGGTTTAAATCAAAGGATTAAAAAAAAACACTTTGTAGTTTGAACATTGGGGTCATTTTGTGTGCGTGTGTGTGTTTTTAAATAAGCTTTAGAGGGAAATTTGCCCTTCAGCTGGAATTCCGTGAACAGGGCGGGGGAGGGTGGGAAGGTTTGCAGATTTTTCAAATCAAAAGTCACTTGTGTTTATCTCACTTCTTGGGTAGGGGGCAGGGATTTGCTGTGGGATGGTGATGGAGGTGGAGGTAAAGACAAACAAGAAGGAAAAGGCCCTTGGAAACTCCAGACTCCATCCAGGACAGGACAGGGAGGGAAGTGGCTGCGCAGCGCTGCGTCCCCGCCCCAAGCCCCGCGCGCCTGGCAATCGCATGCCCACCGCTGGAGCGCGGCGTCCCCGTGCAGTCCTGGCAACCTGTCACCGAGGAGGACGTGACTCGGAGCTGCCTCCGCTTTCTCCAAGCCATATTCCTTTAAGATGATGTAATAGTCATTTCCCTGGATGGTTTCTTGCCTGCACTGCTGAAACAACAGCATCCGAACTGCACTGGGAACTGTGGAACCACCCAGCTCCGCCGCCAGAGAAGCCGGAACCCCGGGCCCCCCGCTGGCATCTCTGCGCTGCCTTGGCCTTCGGCTCCCACCGGCTCCCACCTGGCTGGGAACATGGGAGTCCGTTTGCCCTTGCCGGCAGGTGGGGTGGCAACCTGGGACCCCAGCAGGGCTCGTCTTTCGATCTTTCTGCTTCTGGGCTTTCTGAAAAGCTTCTAAGTCCTGGTACCTCTTGCAACTCTCTTTTAAGGATCCTTTCCAAAGATTTTTTTTTTTTTTTTCCTGGGGAAGCTTTCATTGAATATTTTCTCTGCTTTACTTCTTCAACCCAACCTTCTCTCATCACGGTTTAACTTTTTTGTGACTTGTTTTAACTTAAGATACGGAGTGAATACATACGTACCTACATACATACATAAACACAAATATACATTTATATAAATACATATATATATATATATATAATAATTATTTTCCAAAAGCACACCTGCCTGGCACTTTTCATTGATACCTCGGTCGTTTACCTGTTTGGGATTTGACAAGATCCAGACTCAGTTTGGCTGTGGATTCTGATTGCTTTACAAATGGTTCTTCCTATTATTATTATTATTTTTTTTTTTTCACGAGAACTGGGTCTCCAGCACTCACTAAGGTAAGCTCGAAGACTTATTGCTTTTCCTCTCCAGCTGAAAAAAAAAAAAATTCCCTTTTAGAAGTTGAAAATTGCATGTTTCTTTTTAGTGTAGTCTTACAAGTAGAATTGTTTTTCATACTAATTGCTGGAGACAGAGGCTTATGGATAAACATGTAGACACAAAATAGCATGAGAGAAGCTGTGATTTAATTGAGGAACGGCTGAGATCAGTACTTCCAGGGCTGCTTATGTAAAATAATCTCTCTCTCCCTCCCTCTATTTTTCCCTCCCTCCCTCTCTCTCTCCAGAGGACTCTCTTTTTCTGACTCATTCTGGGTTTGAGGAAATATTTTTTTCTCTTTTCCTTCAGACGGACATCTGAGTAACTGGGGACTTGGCCTGCCTTGCCTGTGAGCTTCATGGAAGACTGGATATAGACGAGTTGATTATATTCTATGAAGTAATAGCTCACTACCATCCAGGGTTTAAACTACTTTTTCAGCATCACTTCACCTGTGGACTTTGATACATTTTGCTTTCTTGGGGGAAAAAAACTGGGATAAGAGGAGGTCATTTTTAATAGGTTTGCATCTTTTTCCCTTTCTTACAAGTTGATACAAAGGATAAGGCTGTGACTCCATTGGATTGCACCTTTAAATCAAAATAGCAGCAGCAGAAGAAAGGGACAATGGCTCTGAGTGGAAACTGTAGTCGTTATTATCCTCGAGAACAAGGGGCCGCAGTTCCCAACTCCTTCCCTGAGGTGGTAGAGCTGAATGTCGGGGGTCAAGTTTATTTTACTCGCCATTCCACATTGATAAGCATCCCTCATACCCTCCTGTGGAAAATGTTTTCCCCAAAGAGAGACACGGCTAACGATCTAGCCAAGGACTCCAAGGGAAGGTTTTTCATTGACAGAGATGGATTCTTGTTCCGTTATATTCTGGACTATCTCAGGGACAGGCAGGTGGTCCTGCCTGATCACTTTCCAGAAAAAGGAAGACTGAAAAGGGAAGCTGAATATTTCCAGCTCCCAGACTTGGTCAAACTCCTAACCCCTGATGAAATCAAGCAAAGCCCAGATGAATTCTGCCACAGTGACTTTGAAGATGCCTCCCAAGGAAGCGACACAAGAATCTGCCCCCCTTCCTCCCTGCTCCCTGCCGACCGCAAGTGGGGTTTCATTACTGTGGGTTACAGAGGATCCTGCACCTTGGGCAGAGAGGGACAGGCAGATGCCAAGTTTCGGAGAGTTCCCCGGATTTTGGTTTGTGGAAGGATTTCCTTGGCAAAAGAAGTCTTTGGAGAAACTTTGAATGAAAGCAGAGACCCTGACCGAGCCCCAGAAAGATACACCTCCAGATTTTATCTCAAATTCAAGCACCTGGAAAGGGCTTTTGATATGTTGTCAGAGTGTGGATTCCACATGGTGGCCTGTAACTCATCGGTGACAGCATCTTTCATCAACCAATATACCGATGACAAGATCTGGTCAAGCTACACTGAATATGTCTTCTACCGTAAGTACAAAGGGTTCTTTTAATTTTTAATGTGTGTCAATTCTCTTCACAAATGTGTACGGTCTGCGTGTTCTGTCTATACCTAAGGAACATGGTTTGGAATTCTTTTAAGTCTGGAGTTACAGCTAGAGATTTAGAGGCTATAATTCAGTTCTCATATCTAACCTAAGGTAACTTTTATCCAATGAGGTCACTGAATATTCAAAGGCCTCCAAAATCGCAAGATAAAAATGATGTTGGTATATGCAATATGTAAAATGGAAACAAACACATATATCTTTTTCTTTGCTGGATATTGAATTGTGAAAATAAGGTCGATGATTACATTGCGGCCTCACAGGAGCTTAGTATACTCAGTGGATGAATTAGTGCTGTCTATTCATTTAGCTGGACTTTGAGGTCTATTAAGCTGGTTACTGAAGATTTGCTTTCATCAGGGGCTTTGAAAACACAAATGGATGTTGCAATGAATAATGTGGTCTTGGCTAGATGGCAGTGCAGACTGCTGAAAGGCCCCCTACTCCCCCCAATTCTAAAATTTGCTTTTAAGGGTTTTACAAATCTGCTGTTTGATTCTGTAGCTTTTTGTACTGAGACTTGAGTTGTACTGCAGACTTAATTAAGCTGAACTTCATTTAAGATCTATCTAAAAGGAAAAAGATCCTTGAGAATTGTCAATCACATACAAACACCTTTAGACAGCTTAGTGATAGAATTACTGACATAAAAGGAAACCCGGGGCGGTTGGGCGGGGGCGGGGGAGGAAATGAAACAATGATACTGAAGCCTTTTAAATAAGGGGCTCTTAGACGTTAGTTCATGTGCTTAAATGAAGACACCCTACAGATTCCTCATTTTGTGATATAGCATTATTCTAAACTATAAACTATGAGCCATTGATCTCTGAAAGGAAAAGAGTAAATCAGCCTGCACTCTTTGGTACTTGATCTTAACTGCCAGTTTTCAACAGGCCCAGGAGTTGGTTCAAGTAAATTACACAAGAAATATATTTCCAGTGTTAACATTTGATTTCTTCTATTCGTATTCTAACATGAATCCAGAATTTGGGATTAAAATGTCTAAATTTCTGTAAACATAAAAGTAGGACTGAATTTCTTGGACTGTTTTTTTTCTGTTAGTTATGTTTAGTCCTTTGGCAATGATGCTGGGAACCTTGGTGAAGAGGCGAGTGGGAGGCCAAGTCATTCTCTACTAAGCTATCACACATTTGGTTTTTAGAAGTTAAGACACATGTGTTGCATAACCAGAACAACCTGTGGAGAAAAACGAAATCAGTGGTTAGTTCAGGAGTATATTGACGTGCAATAACAACCATCATTTGGCTCATTAATCCTATCTGTGGCCTTTATCTACAATCTGTATCTTCCTTTATGCCAGAGCTTAGTGGCCAGACACTGTCTTCTTCTTTTTGGTAAATTTCCCACTAGGGTAGAGATAAGATTACAGCTTTTTAGATTTCTATAAAGGAATATGACATTATCTGTTATTCTGAAGAACAAATATCTTCTCCAAACTTTTTGAAGAAGTACATCTTAGAGATAGTTTCAATGCAGCTTTGTAGTATTTACCATGCCCTACAATTTTGAATATTTGAAAACATAGCATCATAAGAAGCTTCATCCAAATAAATGAAAACATACTGGTTATACCTCCAAAAAGACCACATTGGATTTATAGTCACTTGCTTACATAAATGATACCCACACACTGATATTTATTTGTCTACCAGTGGCATTTCTGTGTTCATCCAAGGCTGTCCAACACTATTTCTCTTTAGATTGCTCCGCACAGGCTCCATTCTCCTGTCTGTGTCATTGCTTCTTTCTTTGTTGAATTGCTGAGAGATTGCCATGGAACAGTTTGTTCTCCATCTCTCCATGGACAGGCTAGCACAAATGTACAGGAAATCCATACTAGCAGCATATATCTTGCAAATGATATACTTCCCCTCTGTACCCAACAGCCAGAGCTAAGTGTTAACTCTTCCTCTGTCTTAGGACCAATAAAACTGACAGCTGGCTTTCTAGGGTGCATAACAGCTTCCGTGCAGCTGCTTAGCCATAATTATTTAATTAGAAGCTGCCAACTGTGCCTATATAAGCATTAATTCATCAAGCTGTTGTGCTCGGGTTAATGGGCCAAAACCATGGGAGATGCTCTAAAGCAATGAGTTGGCTGCATGCAAAGATGCTTTTCACAAAGGAACTCAAGTTCCTCCTGGGCTTAGGGGGATAAACATAGGGGGATGTGAGTAGATCCTTGGATCTAAGGAGTTTGTCACTATATATATAAAGGAATTAACTCTAAGCAATCAGTCTTTTTTAATAACTCAGGAATAGTGCAGAGTCACTTCGCATGGATCGATAACTCAGTAAAAAATAAACAGCGAGAAATTAGTGCATTGCATGCTGGTTCATAATCATGGGGAGAGACTTCTTGTTTCCCTGTTTGCCTATTTTTCTTCTGAGTCATCCAAGAAAAATTTGGGAGACTGAAATCTACCTATCAACCATGAATAAGTTAGATTCTTACCTCATTTAAATTTTCATGTGGACCTAGAATTGATGACTAAGGTCAGATAGTTTTGAGCAAGTGTTGTGTTAGTATAGAACAATGAACAATGAAAAAGTCAACAGGTGTTTGTATGTATGTGTTTAAGAGGCAGGTAATAAATGTGTTTGTCTATATCACTTACACACCAAAATACAGATGAAATGCTATGGATTGTGATTCACTTATCTGCAACTAAAAGAGTTAATATGAGTGATACAAGAACACAGAAAAGAAATGTCTACCCTAGGGATTGCCTTGCAAAGTATTTTAGATATGTCCTTTGCTTTAATTTAAAACAATAAGAAGGTTTCTTTTTTCCTTTCCCACCCAACTGGCTGAATAACTACTTTTCAAGCATTATGTGGAAGGCGATGTCATAAATATCAGAAAATACCTTCTTTATTCACCTCTAAATAAAATGGGAACTATGTAATCTGGAAAAGACAAGTCCTGATTTTGAACTAGATATTCAATAACAATTCACGTCACTTAGGAACCAAATGACAGGTGCATGGAAATAAATGAACCTTTATTTCTAGAGCCATCTTCTGACGCCCGAGAGAGTGGGAAGATTGTTCTTGGTTGGAGAGAATTATGCACATTTCCATAAGCCTACTCATAAGTGAGTTACTTCAGCCAAATGCCTGAAAGCACTAAGATTTAAAGGCATTTGCCTCTAATAAAACTGTGATAACATGACCACACATAGGGAGTTTAATTCATAGGACACTTGTCCTGAAAATATACACCCTGATTTCTGTGAATTATAGAAAGAAACACACTGATTCACCATCTTTTCAACAAATTGCAGCTTGTAAGTGCATTTTAACCTTTCTTCTCTTCTTTTCCTCACGTTTAGAGTTCCTTCCATTGAAGTCTTTAAATTACCTTTTAGATGCAGTATATATCTTCAGGATTATTGATTAAGATAGGCTGTTGGAAAAAAGTAGTACAAGAAATTATCTCCCTCTTCAAATTCAGCTGTGTGATCTTGTATTGGGGAGAAATATACGGTTTGGCCACTGTGAATAATTTAACTAAGATTGACTTTAACAAGCTTCAATAAAACCATGTGCTTTCATAAGAAAACAGGTGGAAATGGATCTATCCTAAAATGATTCTAACTTTTTTCTCCTGGCTACTTGAAAGATACCAGCACAGGTTGAGCACCCCTAATTCAAAAATCCAAAATCCAAAATGCTTCAAAATCCAAAACCTCTTGAGCACTGGCATGGTGCCACAAGTGGAATATTCCACATGTAAGTACTCAACACAAACCTTGTATCATGCCCCAAATTATTAAACATATTTTATACAATTATATTCAGGCTATGTGTATGCTTTGCATATAAAATATAAATGAATTTCATGTTCAGACTTGAGCCTTAGCCCCAAGATATGTCATTACATATATGCAAATATTATAAAATCTGAACAAATCCAGAATCTGAAGCATGTTTGGTTCAGGCATTTTGAGTAAGGGATCCTCAACCTGTAATAATTTCCATTTGTATTGCCCATGGAGATATGGTATCGGCACATTCAAAGTGAAACATCAGGGATAGTAGAGTAGCCAAAATCATAAGGTATGTGAGGTTTGGTCCCTACACTACCTGCATCTCTCCCTGTGACTTCCTTCTGTTGTCTCACCTTAGCTGCTCCTCTTCCCTTCTGTTTGAGTCACTTCTTCTCTCCACTTCTTTCTCCCGTGCCATAATCAAAGCTTGTCAGGAAAAATTCTGCTCTGTCATTATACTTAGAATGCTTTCACAGCATGATGTTACTTTCCCCAGGGGTATTTGTACATAAGAGGACTTTTAATAGGTGTGAACCAGGCATCCTTTTACCCTGAAGAAAGTGTTCTTAAGATTTGAAGCTTCTTAATTTCTGATGAAAAACCACAGTTTAAGTATAAGGCTTCAATTATGAAGTCAGTTTTTACCCATGCTCAGGCAGATATTAAATAATAAAGGGCAGAAACAGCAGATATATTTTTTTCTTATTTCTTTAAGATGCTGTGCACTGAGTATTGGGCTCAATAGAACTGTGATATAAGCATGTTAGTAAAGTATTTTATTATACTGTTTTCACTTCTATGCCAAGCAAGAGCTGTTACCTGAGTCCAATTCCTTGTAGGAGGAGATTAAAATAGCTTCTTCTTGGGTCTGTGGTATCAGGGAAGGAATTTGGCAGCAAGAAATGTATCAATGTATGGGCGGAGAGGGGAGGTCTCTGAGGTTGCCTCTATGTGTCCTGATACATTTATATATATATATATATATATATATATATATGATCAGAAAGAGAAGACCAAATGTTTCTAACAGCCTAATGAGGCTGGATCTAATCAAAGAAATTAGAAATGGAAGTAGCTGTGAATGTGCCACAAAGCTCCATCTGGAACACCTCCAAACACAAAACATGGA